ATATATATATATATATATATATATATATATATATATATATATATATATATATATATATATATATATATATAACGGTTAGTTTTAGATGTAAACCATTGCTAATTTATTTAAAAAATACTCTTGAATTTTTAATAATATTAAAAAATACTCTTAAATTTTAAAAAAATTAATTAATACCCTTTCATTTAAATATATATATATATATATATATATATATATTCTTATATTTAAAAAAATGTTTATTTAATTTTAAAAATAGTATTAACATCATCCATCTTTATTAAAAAAAATTAATTAATATACCGAGTATTTTTTAAATTCTTTTTAATTTTTTTTAATTGGAGAGTATTATTGAAAATTTTGAAAAGGCAAATGATTTTTTAATTAATTTAGCCGTGTAATTATATAAATATTTTATTTATTTATTGGATTGATTTATGATTGTGGAGATTTGAAAAATGAATATGATGACAAAAATGCCCCCGTTTTTCTTTCTACATAGTACATACTCGCGTCCTTTTCTTCGTCAATCCGGTCGGTCTCCATTGACTTGGGGTCACTGGTTTGGTCCAAAATTGTAAAATCGTCTATTATTATTTCCGTCAAATTAATTCAGTCAAATTAATGGCGTAAATCAACAACCATCGCATAAACGTTAAACGTAGAAAGAAAAAGAAAATGCTTCAAAGTCAAAGTAAACTCTAGTTTAAGATACATATTTTCGACTAAAAAAAAAGGTTAAATATTTGAATTATTCACGATAACTATGTGAGGTTAGTATGATTTAAAAATTCGACCTATCGATCGACTCATGTACATTTAAACTAGTTGAGTTATGCTCAAAGTATAATTTGGTTACATCTTACAAATCATTGCTATATAAACGAACAATAATTACTTTTACTGATGTCAACTCCATCTGTCATCAGAAGAGAGAGTTTCGACCTCTTTTCGTTGTCTCGGGAGAAATTATCTTAAAAACCTGGACTAGACAGAATAAAACGTATTTTGAAGGCTAGCTACGAAATGACAGTTCGTATTGACTGAAAACGAGTACTTCAAAATAAGTAGTAGACTATGAATGTCGGTCCTTAATGCTAGAGGGCAAATACAGGGTTTGAAAAGAAACAACTATGTACTCGAGGGTGAGGAATTTGTAAAACACGTCCCTGAAGTAGAATTGAGGTAAGGAAGGAAACGAAGTCAAAAGATCACGTTCAAGAGATACTAGGTGTTAAATGTATAATAGATCATATCTGTACATAGTAAGATAGTCTATTGATTTACTTGTTTGTTACCATGAATCAAGGAAAATCTATGATTTTTTTGTTATAATCCTCATTATACACATTTATAAATACACGAGTTCGTGACCCATATAAGTCACAGTGTCATTTAACCTAACAGAGTATCAGAGTCATGCTCTAAACTTAGTTATGTCAATAGAATCCTCAAATGTTGAACAAATGATTTCAAAAGAAAAAGGAGTCGAGACTCGATAGTAAAAAATGACTAAGACTCCAAAAGAAAAGGAGTCGAGCCTCGATTAAAGACAGGCGTACTTTGTTCGAGGGGAGGTGTTGGATAAAAGTCCCACATCGGCTAATT